AAAAAAAAAAAAAAAAAAAAACATCTCCAAAAAATCTGAAACAATATATGTTATGGAGAATAATAATACAAATAACGTTTGCCTTGGAGGTATGGTCAAATTCGTAATCAAACTCGAGTTAAAAATAAAAAAACAATTTTTTTTTATTTATTATTATTTTTTTTTGAATATATTCGGCCGAACACGTTCGGGTGGCGTTCGACCGAACACCCTAACATGTTCGGACGTTCGGAAAAGCTCCGAACATGTTCGGTGTGCTACACAGCCTATGGCGATGGAGGACGAGAAGGAAGAAAAAAAGGAGGAGGAGGAGGTGGTGGAGAAGGAAGAGGAGGAGGAGGAGGAGGAGGAAGAGGAGGAGGAGGAGGACGATGAAGAGGAGGAAGAGGGCACACCAACGGAGATGGAAGAGGAGGAGGAGGAGGAGGAGGAGGAGGAGGAGGAAGAAGAAGAGGATAACGAAGACAAGAACAAAGAGGAGGAGGTGGAGGAATAGAAGGACGATGAGAACAACGACGAGGAGGAAGAGGAGGAGGAGGAGGAGGAGGAGGAGGAAGAGGAAAAAGAGGAGGAACAAAGGAAGGAGGAAGAAGAAGAAAAGGAGACCGAAGTGTGAAAGGGAGAAAACGAGGAGGGGAAGGAGAAGAGTAGAGGCGGAAGGAGGAGGAGGAGGAGGAGAAGGTGGCTAACCTGGCACTCAGTGCCGAAAGCACGTGGGGATGGGTTGGACAGTGTCTGAGTTCGGCAACAGCAACACCGAGGTCCACCGACAGTGGTCGGGCAAAAACGCGCTCTTGGGAGGCCGCCTAGGTCCCCGTGTTCGCAGCCTCGGCCATCGATCACGCTGATAGGACGGCCCAGATTGGACCGTTTTCTATTTTGAATTCAAATGCCTTACCGGCTACCGCAAATTTCTCCCACTTGGCCCTCCGCTCCGCCTCTAACCTCCACCTTACCTTGCGCTGCCAAAGTTGTGGCCCCCCCTCGAATTTGTTTTGGGATCAGACTTGGGACCCTACAGAACCGGGCCGGATATGCACAGTTGTCCGATCGGACAGTCTCGGACGATGAAGGGGGTCCCAGACGTCCGATCTGGTAACGTAGACATAATATCATATAAGATCTCTCTTCCATTCTCTCTTTTAATTCTTATGCAAAAAAAAAAAAAAAAAAAATCACGAACCGTAGAATCCTTACAAATGCGCTCTTTACGCATCTCTATTTTGTTTAGTGTCCAAATGTACCGCACCTACCGGCTATAGTTCAAATTTGGTCACAATAGGTATGAGATGGAGAGGGTCTGTGGGTGCCTATTCATTTTGTTGCATTAAATGTATTCAATCTGAAACYGCTAGGCACCTACCGACCTCGCTTTCATTTTCATAAGAGAAGATACAAGACGAGTTGCATCAACTGGGGCATATTCATCCAAGGAACGTGAATGT